TCAATTGTACTTCGTTCAGTTACGTGTGCTAGAAAAGCGTGTAGATACTCGCGCATCAATAGAGTAGTTTCAACATGACTTTCATTATGCCCCCCCCCCATAATAAAAGAAATTTTAAACATTATTTATATCATAATTATGCGGAAGGATGAAAGAAGTTGGACCAATTGCATAGACCTCCTCGATCACCTGATTCATCATTTAGATTTTTTAATGCGGTATGGCGACAGTTAATAAGGTTTTACAAAAAAATATGAATTAAGACAGGCACTAGAAGTGGCGACACCAGAGAAATTTAATCAAGTCGACCGGTCATGCCAGAATGGGTAGTAATTTAGTTTTTAAAGATGCAACTCAAAGCAATAGCGGATTTTTGAACATTTTCTAAAATAACTTAAAGCGTATGTAGTGATATTATTATTTTTTAAGCTTTAGTTTATGTAAATTATGAAAGAACCGTTTAATAATATGTTCTGACTTTTATAAGTTATAAATCATAACAGAATAAAATACCATGTAATCTAGAGTAAAATTAGTCAAGAAAAGATAAGAATTGGCTAAACTAAATTTAACTTTTCAAACATGTTTTGAAAATCTTTCTCTAAAAACATTCACCGGTCAACGTATCCTCGAAAATATGGCCAAGAAAAGTTGAACAGATAATCCTACACGCTTACTAGCTTCATTTAAAGAATTCATATTTACAATTTTGTTTATTTTAAATTTTAAAGTTTGGATGTGACAGCTTCACATTTTTGAGAGCAACAACGATTGATTAAACTTGTTTCCATTGCTTAAACTAAGTGAAATTGTTTAAAAATTATAAAAATTGAAAACATAACTCATGGTACAAAGAAAACAACGTATGATCGATAGCGGCTCCAATTTCGTTAAGTTTGCTCATACCACCTGTGACGTCATACGCCATACAATATCCATAGTATTCAATTGCCACTGATAAAAAGACCTAAAATAGGGAAGAATTAGGACATAACCCCAAAAGTTATGTCAAATTAATCAGTTTGACATTTTAAAGAAAAAATTATTTTTCCACGTTTATTGTGTCATCTGTTTGACAATTTGGGGAATTGGCGCGCGGGGCTTGCCGACCAATGGTGCCGTTTATCACCTGTAACGTAGTGACCAACCTGCGCAATATCTAGCAATATCATACCTTGTAACTTCTTTGTATCATGGCTATAACTCAGTAATTTTTCGAAGAAGACATATTATAACCTTATCTAAAAGCTTAAAAATGGCGCTTTTATGAAGTCATGGCCAACTATGGTTTCGATTTAAAAAACTGTTTTGTGTCGTATTTCAAAATGACAAGCTTTAGAAAAAATCGGAGAACACAAGCTCATTAGGGGTGTGATTATCTACAACTTTTATCTGAAAACTTTTTGTCTAAAGTAGATTATAATGGAATTAGGGACAATTTTTAAAATAGCCGAAATTTGTTTTTTTTCGAAAATTTCTAGTAAGTCATGAACTTTTTCAAAAATCTGAAAGTCGCGTATTTATGACCCCACAAAACTGCAATTCTTTCTCCATTTAACCGACTCTCTATCTCCACCCAAGTAGCATTTTCACGACTTGCGACCACATGTTTACTAAACACAACGTTGGATTAGTTACAAAAAATAGTTAGCTCCCTACCTTGGGTATTAAAATAAATTTAAACGTTGTTTTTTATAACGTTATTTTGACATGGACTAGTACTACAGCAAAGTAGAAGCTTCTGCGACGTCGAATAAACGTTGTCTTGTAACCTTTTGCTTAGTGATCTTGAGGTGATTCGGACAACGTAGTTACAACGTTGGACAATATAGAGTTTTCCAACGTCAGTTTCAGGACCTATTCCAACGTTATGCAAACGTCCTCTGTTTTACTAATTCCAACGTTGTTTAGATTTCCTTATTCTTACGTTGGTAGGACGTCGAGTCACTACCTTTTTGCAACTGTATTGAACCATAACCTTAAATCTTAAATTTTTCACTTCATTGTTCTGTTGTTCCAGTCAGACAGTTCAGTGCTGTTTTGTTTTTATAAAAAAAAAAACTTAATTAAAATGGGACATAAGAAAGGTACATATAAAACTAAATTTAAATATACATCGACATATATATTACCGATAGTTTATCCACTCCTCGTTTATTTAGATTATAGAGGGCGGCACAAGCTAGACTCTAGGATGACTAAATTGGGCAATCTTGCGACTAGTATACTACTGTTAAGGCCGAACTGCGACTTAATTAGTCCAGTATGCGACTACCCGAACTACTCCATCTTAATCTCCGAAACAACAAAGTGAAAGCAGCCATGTTGTTAAATAAGAAAATGTTTCGTTCTAAAATAGCAATTCTGCTTTTTGAATACATTAGCTTGAAATATTTGACCCTAAAAACACGCGGAAACAATTTTTCGACTGCGAATAAATTATTCTCATTTTACTAAAAAAAATTCAAAGAAAAAAAAAATGTTTAAAACTTCTTTAATTTTAAGGCCTATTAGTATTTTCAAAGTAGAAATAATACATTTATCAATAAAGTTGTTGCGTTTAACTTTTTTGCCATGGGTAACGAGTTACAGAGTCGGTTAAAGTGTTTCAATAATTATGATCTTCAAACATCCTCCACACTTAAATACTTTTGTTTTGTTTTCCTTCACTGCCATCTGATATATGTCTCTAACTAAATCATAAAAATAATATTTTTACTATAATTATCCCAATTTAAGATAAAACACGACTTAGACGCCATATTAGTTTTGTATTTCTATGAATTAGGATTTTAAACAACGTTGCAGTTTGTACTAAATTAGGCTTCTAGCCAACGTCGGTATCCAACGTCGTTTCGACCCAAGAATTATTCTCCGAACTAGTGCAGACTAGGGTTGGCACGAGGTTGTGCCGACGTTGCGCCCCGACGTTTGGTCGCGTGACACAACGTTGTCCCGACGTCCAAATGCTGCTTGGGCAGTAGTTTCCGAGATACCCATAGAGAACATCGTAGGAAACTCACTCTGTATACAAATAAAAGAAAATATTTTAAATTGTTTTACCTTATCGTCTTTGCAAAAATTGAACTGTCTATTGGTTCCCTCGCAGCCTTGATCAGTGTTCTTTGGCGGTGGATTATTGCATTCCCTAGTGCTCATTTGGATACCCTTCGCGTTACTTAAACATCCAGAGGAACAAGAACTCTTCATCCAAGAACTCCACCCACCTGGAGTCACCTGCACTGGTTTAGGTAGTTGTCTTGAACTACAGTGTCCACCGTAACAGTACTGCAATAAGTGATTTCATTAATGATTTTTAATTTTTAACATTCATCATGGGACCAGCCAATTAAAACTATTTTAATTTTCGTTCGTGTCCACACTTTTTGTTATACTTCGCGAAGTGATCAATATGGAGCTTTGAGGTCAGCTTTAATATAAACCGTTGACGTTCTGTTAGAAATATTATACCGATCTGGTCATCGAAACTGCGTGGTCTCTATTTTAGTGCGTGCGACAGAGATAAATATAAATAACCGGTTGACAGACAGAGGGACAAAATAAAAAGCGGCAGACAGTGTTGCCGGTTTTTACGTTTGTAGGAAAATGTGTGTAAAAAAATTAACTTTTTTAAAAATTTTCATGTATACTACTGAAATGAAGATAATATATCTAAGCTGAGTATAATCTATTACAGCTGTAGTAAAATGAGTAACTAATTGTGAAAAATAAAGTTCCAGTCCTAGATGCAACATTTTTCATAAATGCCTACCTAATGCGGTTTGAAATTTTGATGCAAAATCTGGCAATACCGCATAGAAGAAATGTATCAACCCAACTTTTATCTCTTTTTAATACATTTGATTCTCCATTAAGCTGTCGACATCACTGTCTTACACGTTAAAATCCAGACCACGCAGTTTCAATGAGCAGATCGGTATATAGGTATATAGTCTGTAATAACATATTATATGTTATTACAAACGCTCTCTAAATGCCGTACTTGAACTATTTTAAAACAACATTGTATGAAATACCTTTCCAGATCCACAGGGCGTACCATCTAAAGCAGGCCCTGCAAAATAAAATCCGCTTCTGTGAGGCGTTTTACATTGCAAGTTGTAGCAAATTTCAGACAATTGTTGACTTGGAGCTATCACTGCGTCCTTATCCCTTAGAAGAACCTCGCATTGTTTTTTTGCCGTGTAAATTCTGCCGGGAACATCCAAAAATCGGGAATGGTCTCTCGACCTCACTGGTTTACTGGAGTCTTTCAGACATTTTGCCCAACTAGGATAGATATGGAGTAGGTATTTAAGAATATATTAAAATTAAACAACGTATTAAATATCAGAAAATCTCGGTTGATTATACAAAAACGGAAAGAAGTAGAAACAAAATATTTTATGGGTATATGTGGAGAGGCAATGTTCAAAATTTACAATTATTTTGAAATATACAGGGTGTTTCAGAACTAAGATCCATACAAAAATTATATTTTTTCTTATGGAACACCCGGTATTTTATTTCATTTTTGGATTCTTGGGCCAAAAAAAAGGCATTTAATATAAGGGTTAAATATGTTTAAAATCTTTGATTTTTGAAATATTTAAATATATTTAATATGCATGCAACAATAGAATAGATGATTAACACCCTGTAGAATACATTACTTTTCTGTTTAAAGCAGAGATAAACTTGTCTGAAAAATGTGATTGCTTCCTTAAATTTATGCAGGTTGCTGATCTATTTTAAGGATTTATTTTATATAAAAACTTCGTTATTTCAGATGCAACACCCTGTATTTTTTAAAATAAATCGGAGCAGATTCAAATGCTCTTTCAAACTATATTGTATCCTATACCTAGCTAGCTCAGATTTTGAATAAAAAGCGATTTTTCAATAACATGTCAATCAAGATGGCTGGTATCTCTTCTAATATAACATACAGTATGTCTCCGGATTGTGTTTACACTTTGATTTAAAAACAATGCCATTGATTTTAAATAACTCAATGTCATTGACAAGAACTTCAGTGAAAGGGCTCGAACACACTGACGAACAGGTCACACCGTCCAGGCCGCTGCTACTTCTAAAACCGTTAAATCAAATGATACCGCGCCCACTAACGTCCTGGCCATCCGATGGTCGTTGCGACCAGTGGACTGCACTAAAATATTACATTTTTCTGCCGCTTGTTGCCGGTTTTCTTCCAAATTAATAATTTTTCAGATGAAATCCCTCAAATTCAACGCACAATATTTTATTTTCTCTAAGATATAGTGTTTTAGTGTAGTTTTTGCACACGTGCAGAAAATCCAAAGAAATAGTATACAGACTGGATCAAAGGGAAACTTAAATATAGTCCCTTTTTATCAAGGGTCGATTCTAGTAAAAATTCAAAACTTTTTTATATGACATACTCTATTTATGGTTGGTAAGATACCTGTATACTTTCGAGTTTCGATGTTAAAAAATAAAAAAATCATATTTAAAGTTTTTCTACAACCACTTGTTTTTTTTATTAAATTATTATTTTTAGTTGTATTGTAGCCATGTACAAGGAGGACAACTGTATTTTAAATATTATATTTAATTTAACGTTTTTCGAACAGGATCCATTAGACTATATTTCTACTAGGTACATTATTTAAAAAAAAAATAAAAGTAAAAGTAACTTAAACATTCATAAAAATAGAAGTATTTACTGTTGTAGATTCTCAGTAACAATAAAAAAGAGGAATTTATATTGTAAACATTGAAATAACTGGAAGCTAAACTTTCTATCTGTTTATATTTAGAGCCAGTGTCTGACGCTTTTTACGAGTAAGCTAATATGTTTACTTCTAAGTCGATAAGAGCCATCAGTGAAGTCCATAGTAGAAAAAAAAAGAAACAGAATAGCTCCCTTTTTGTCGGTCGCGCGTACACAATGCTTTTGTTCGGCCTATTTGTTCTGCTTGTTCGTACGCGCTCGGTTCGTTCGGACTAAAATGCCAAATCTGGACATTGCCTTTAGGAACAATACTATTTTTGTCCTTTTATTGATATAATGAAAATCTCACAAGTTACATGTCTCACTCTACACATATTAAATTACATAGAGGTAGGATGTAGAATATTCTGTTATGAAACGACTGATGGAATAGCAGGCATCGCAGATTTGAAAAACATGGAAATAACGACGTTATCGTGTAGTCGGGGTTGGAGATTTTACTTACTCCATTTACCACACCAGTGACTATTAACGAAAAATCAGAATATTTTAAATGCATTATTTAATGTTAGAACATTTAATAAGCTCATGAAGCGATTAAGGAACTTCGCTTTTTAATTAACTCGGATATTTAACATTTTCACAAACTTAATTCTTTCTTAAACAATATTTTCTAATTGGTAAAACGTAAATCGTTAGATCTGACAACTCTGTTGAACTGGTCGTTCATCTGGTCGCAGCTATAAACGCAATACATCCGGCCAGCCGACGGCTGGTCGTTTGCAACCTGGTCGTCAGTGAGTTAGAACCCGAAAAAACACCAACAAGCTGAAGTGAAAATGATGTTTGTTTTATTATTTATTAGGTATTTCCGGTTATAAAACTGTCACATGAATATATCTTTCAGAGATGAACCATTGATGAATACTTATATTATACGATTAGATGATAGATTTCTTTTATTTTAAAATTTTTTTTTTTTTTAATAGGTATTATAAAATAAATAAACATAGCTTTTGAATTTTGACCTTCTTCAACTTTTCATTGGACCATTGAGTTTCTCCGTTAGTTCCTCTGGAGGGAGACATTATATAGCCATCCTTAGGACATCTATTTCCACTATTGTCATGATGCATACCTAAACACAAAGATTTTTTATAAGATAAAATTTGCCATTCGAAAACTCATTTTCATTTCAAGGCTTTAAACTTGTTTTAATAAGTATAAAATAATAAAAAGGCCATGTTTTTATATAGTTCAATAAATTCTTCATTAGTTCATTTCAGAACGAAAAAGAGGAAAAATATTACTATCAACTTTTTTTCCGACTTAGCTGAAATTTACTACACATTACTAAAAATTAAAAAAAAAAAAAAAAAAAAAAGAATATAAATATATCAGATTGGCCCTCTTCCTTCGTAACTCATTCCTCCCGCCGCTCCGTCTGTGCGCAGGCTTGGTCCAGTCCATCCGATTTATCGACGTGTACTGGTTTCCAAAGGATTTATTTTGGTTTTCAGTCCGTACGCAAGGTAAGCAATCTTTATTTGTTTTGTTCGAATTGTGAATAAAATGTCTACTAGAAATATTTGTGCAGTATCGTCCTTTGCTCAAATCAAAGGAAGGTATGAGTTTTATATAGTATAGGATATTAAGTATATAATAATTGAAATAATAGACATATTCGTATATTGTAATTATGGAAAGCTAATATGAATAAATTGTTTTATAAATAATACATATAAATTGAAAGATTTTGCTCGAGAATAATGCAAAATGTTTATTTTAACAAATTCATTTATTATTTTTAGTAGATTTTTAGAACAATGATGAATACTTCTATTATGTTTTGGATTTTGCAGTACCGGTTTGCAAGACATAGAAACTATTTTAAAATGTTTTAAATGTTTCAC